ATTTCCAGTGAAGCAAACCAGCTGGTTCATGAATTTGTTCAAGATCTCCATATATGTGACTTATAACATGTGCAATATCATGGTTCAGATTTTGTATAAGAGTATAATGATTATCATCCCCTCCCAATTTAATTAATCAAATGTTTTGTATGCAATATTTTTCAGAGATTAGAACATGATTTGTAGCATAGGGTCCCCCTTTTCTGGAAGTTTACAATGCCCCCTCCCTTCCTTCCTACTCAATATATGGATAGATTGACATAAGTATATCATCTGGTGAAATGTGCTGTCTTGCATATATATATAAGCATCCACCTGTCAATCAAAGACAGAATACCATAAATTTTGAAATCTGTGATTTGGCTATAATCTATCCCATGAGCATCCATTGTATATTGAATCTCAAGAAATGCATGCTTTGGTAGGACTTAATGTAAGTGAGCTTCATCTTTGTTAATTTGGCTAGATTTCTTCAGAGTACATACTTATCATGGGATAACTTCAAAATGTGAAAAACCCACATCTTGCATAATTGAAAACAATAGAAAGTCATATCAATATAAATGTGCATACAGTTCAAAATAGAAACAGGACTCTGCCTACTTATCAAGAGCATACAGAACAATGCTCGAACACTTGAAAACATCCAGCGAAGTTTTCAAGGATGGACAACATTCCCACATAAGATGTTCTTATTAAAGGTAATACAAAGCTTTGGTATGGGGTCATGAATTTGGTTCAAATTAACATAGTGGAAGCATATGTGATCCTACAATATTCAGTGATCGTTGTCGCGGTTGAAATCGAGTCTAAAGTGAAAAAAATTCAAATTATTAGCTCTTTATGTTGTATAGCTCCCTCTCAAGGTCAAGATATTGATTTAGCTATAAAACAATGTTTCTTGACAAAAATCGAGCGATTTGCTATTCCCGTTTATTAATTATATATCACAACTGCATATTCTGAGATTTTCATGTTCGCAGCTATCATTGTATGGCCGTAGGCGCTATTTGAAATTTATCAAAATTTACCGGGAGCACTGGTAAATTTTTATATTCATTATATCTCGAAAGCAGAAGTGTTTTATGGGATAATTTGTTTAGTGCTTATAATACATCTGCAGGGCATCCAAATATATCAAAATTGTAAGGAATTACTATCCAGCCAATTTTCAAAATTTACCAAAACTTTGTATTACCTTTAAGTATAAGGATGCAGTCCATGTTTAGGTATAATTGATAAGACATACTAAGTATTGTATCTCAATGATTGTGGGGGCGTTACTTGCTTTCTTTGAATAGGGATAGCTCTTAGAATGTCAAGTGTGTACTACATGCCTATAATAATCAGCTTAATAATCAGCTTTGCTTCCCTTTAGTAGGGTCAAACATTAAACAAAACAAAAAATATTTTTGGTTTTGGAAAGTGGATCAAAATACAAGACCATGATGTTGTGCTCAAGATATACATGTGTCATCCTACATGTGCAGTACAGACTTTTGTATGCATACAGTTATGAAAATTACAGACATCAAAGCAACTTTCTTCATCATGGCAATCATTTCTGACCAACTTTTAGTCAACCGAGTGCCAGAAGGGCGTTGAAATGTAAAATGTGGTTAAAAATGCCTTTCTGGCTCTCAAAAGTTAGAATGTGTCTTACACTCTATATATATATGTACTATACTTAAGTCATATTTATGAAAGGAAGTAATGATAAGATGTAAATAAGGAAGCTAAAATCAAATTTTACTACAGGATGAGATTCACTTGTAAAATCAGGATGCAGAACCACCATAGCGTTCAAATGACTGTTCCGGGTATTCGGTTGTAGTTTCTGTGACCATCAGATACTTTTGTGTAGGAGAACCATTTTAACATGCACATAGTTTTTATAGGTCTTCAAAGTACATTACAGGAACAATTAGTCATTTTGTACATATACATGCCACAAGGCCAACTCTGTAATGTGATGTGTGGTATTGTGTGCATGGTAACACCATGACATCTAATCATGAAAATTTGATAATAGAATAACACTTACACTTAACATAACAATATAGGGTATACTCAGTCAGCATGATAATGTTAAAGTGAAATACATGTTGTTGAAGGGAAATTGGTTGAATAATGCTCTGACAAAGTCTAAAGGAAATAAGGATATTTCTGACAATCTACATGTACATAAAGTGGAATTAGGATCAGGAAGTACACATACTTTGTGTGATTTTTTTTTTAGTATTAAAGGTTTGGATTAATTGCAGATATTGGCCATATGGCATTATGTGGAGAAATTGTGATAAAGTGTAATTGTTATGCTTTTTGTTATGAGCTTTGATTTAAATAGTGGTGTTTTAACATCTTCAGAAGATACCTGAACTTATAAATAAATCTTATCATCACCGACTGAATATGCTAGACAAAATAGAAGAATGGAATATGAGGAGGGAGGGGCTGCAGGAAGTGCTGAGTGAGTAGGGATATGTATTAAACCACCGTTTTCCGATACACATTTCTGTGAAGAAATACACATTTTAAAAGTTATTAGTTAAGTAAAAAAGGTATTGAATTGATTTCTCTGAATTGATGATTTGTAAAACAATTCATTATCATTTAACATTATGAAGAAGTATAAAATTGTACATCCCATGATGTAGAAGAGTGAGTAAAAAAATAGCCTGTTCACCGACATGAAAGAAAACATTTCTTACTCAAATTGTTCAGTTATAAATGGATGGAGTTTTATTTATTTTCTTACTTCACAGACAGAATTAGTTAGACAAAAAGGGAGAAAAGAGAGAGAGAGAGAGAGAAAGAGAGAGGGGGTAGTAAGAGAGAGACATCGAGAGAGCCTTGTAGCTGAGAGATAGAGAGAGACAGAAAGAGATGCCATGAAAGACATTTATTTAGTATAATGTTAATATTGGATGTCTGATCTCATGTTCCTAATTCAGGATGTATCACATCTCAAAGGATATTAGCCTAAGGACTGCAACAAGAACTGCCCAGGGGTGGAGATATGGGGAGGGGGGGGGGGGGGGCTGCCATATATTGTGGGGGCTCTCTTGGAAATATATACATGCAATGTATGTCATAATATAAAAGAGACGTGTAGCATTTCATGATCTTCATGTATTTTCTGTGTGCGTATTCGAATCTGATTAATCAAATTTCTTTCTGTATTACAAATACTACAAATCATTAAGTTTCATTAGTATCATATCAACAAAGCTTGGCAATATATATGCATCCTTCAAGCTTAGTTAGTAGTTACAATTAGAGTATGTCTTGTTTTGCTCTTGTTTCAAACTGCATAAATGTTGCCTATTTCCCAGGTGTTATTCCATAATGTAAAACTAAAAGGTACATTTTTTATTCAAAAGACTAGGTATTTGCTTTACCCCCCCCCCCCCCTGCCCCCTAAAAAAAAAGAGGCCTACAAATTGAAAATCACAACTCTTGAATACCTATGGTACTTTATAGAAGAACATTACTCTAATATTTGTATTGCTACACCGCCATGTTTGGTAAAGGGTATGCCAAATGTTTCCCCGCTGTAGCAATAAATATTCCAATCCAGACATCATCAATACCACACTGACATCCTATAGGGAAATAGGGTCATACGAGTGGGAATGTTAAAGGGAAATCTAACCTAAATAGGCAACTTCTCTAAAGAAAGCAGAAAAATCGGAGAAGAAAACTGATAAAATTTTCAATTAAATCTGACTAAATATAAGAAAGTTATGAATTTTGAAAGTTGTAATCACTACACGTATGAGCACTTCAAATTGGCTGATGCGGTAATGTCATCTGTTTCTTTCCCATCTGTTCCAACATATAAAATTCTAAAATTTACATTTTCAAACATTTATTGCTCAGGATGGTCTATAATATTCTTTTTAGAGGACCTATAATAACATGCTATCTATAATTTATTTTGAGTAGTGCCCCAGGAGAGTAGGAACTTACGAAAAATTAATGATATTTTTGTACACAGCAAATGGGAAAGATATCCAAGTCCTACATCACAATCCACTGACCAAACTACCAATTTGAGATTAGACGTAGTGATCTCATATTTCAAACATTCATAACTTCCTTACTATTGGTCTGATTCATTTCAAACTTTTGCCATTCTGTTTCTGTTATTTTTCTGCTTTCATACAAATCAAGTTATTACAAGGGTTGGATTGCTCTTATAGAGTTTCCTGATATTCCAGAGTATCTTTACCACTCCAAATTCAAACAATTTTTATCAGGAAACAGATTGGACAAGGATTGAACATGGATCAGACAAGAATGTCATGGTAAATTTAATGTTGCATGCTACATGTTTATGAGTTCTTACAGCTTTAGCTTAGTTGGAAATGACAAAGGTTAATGAAATTGCATGACAAAAAATCATTAAGAATTGTTCACATCCACTTGCATCCAATATTATAGTTTTCCACCGTGTACTGTATCATTATGCATTAGTGATTATCCAAGAGATATTAGAATACATTTCTTGGTTTCTTTTCAAAAATGATTAGGTGCATGTAATAAAGCAAGGAAATGTGTTTAGAATTATAAAATGATTTACATTTCATGTCGCACTGAATGCAATATGTTTGTAGTTGATGACAGCATGCATAATTTGTTGTTGGCGGTCATATACATGCACCAAATAAATGTACAACTAAGGAAATCATAAAGAGTATCATGGGTTATTTTCTTTTGTTTGATTATTTGTATATATCACCAGTTGCCTTCAAAGATTATTGTTTATGTGCATGAGATATATGTGGAAAATGGTGCTACCTACATGCACATGTACAGTACTTTTTGGACTGCAGATTTAGGAGGAGGAGGAGGAGGAGGAGGAGGAAGAGGAGGAGGAGGAGGAGGTGGTGGTTTGTTTTTAACATAGTGAATCGTGTTCTTTTATTTTTTTGTTATATCTATTCTATTCAAACCAAAACTTGACATCTTATTCTCTCTTTTCTTTCTTCATGCAGGACAAAGAAGAGAAAATCTTCAACCAGTTCCATTACACAGCCTGGCCCGACCATGGAGTCCCTACATCAGTCAAACCTATCTTAGATATGATCAAACTAGTCAGAGAGTACCAAACAGCAGAGGAACCTCCTATAGTTGTCCATTGCAGGTTAGTCAGTTAATGATTTTACCACATTTTTGTTGATCTTTCTTCTTTTTTTGTCAGCTTTTTCATTCACCTAGCTGTTTTAGCATTATTATCATCATTGATGATATGACTTAGCCCTACCCTAATCAGGCTAGTCAAAGAGTACCAAAAGGCAGAGGATACCATGTAGGCATCTATTGCAAGTTAGTCAATATCATCATCATCATCATCATCATCATCATCAACAACAGTCTGTGCTTTGGAAGAGGTGATTAAATTAGTCAGTGATTACAAATCAGGAGAGGATCCTCCCACAGTTGAACTTTGCAGGGTAGGTCCATACCTGTATATTCATTGTAAGTCTGACTTTTCATAGTAGAACAATGAAGTTTCTATGTGGTCTTATCTTTGATACCGGTTCAATACTCTACACCTGCAAGATTAGCCAGTTCAGGTTATATATAGAAAGCATCAATTCAGCTGGGCTTGGCTATAACCAATTCAAACTGAATTCCTACTGTCTTCACCTCCTTCACTCTCTTTTACACCCTTACCTAAAAGAGACAACTAAGGAAGAGTTTCAAGCTCTAGAAGATTATTTGATCAACACTTGCTTGATCTCGGGAGGGGGAATATTGCTGCTACATGAACATTGTGTACTTCTATGTTGAAGATTTCCTCCTGGAGGAAGTATGCTGTGAAACCTAATGCAGGATGAGTTATATTTAGATTGACAGTGAAGACAATTTCTCTCATCATCAAGGCTTTTTCGATGGACCAATTTGGCTGATAAAGAGCTATTTTCTTTGGAATTGTAGTATTCTTGAGTTTCAAATAGGTCTTCAGTGAATTCAAATGTTTATATGGAATAGTTGTGATTCAATCCAAAGTTCCAAAGCAGAGAGTTTGCTTGGGTATTCTCAAAGGACTTGAGCACTAGATCAACCTAAACTATACATAGAAAATCCACTTTTCCTATTATCCTATAAATGATACTACACCAAACTCCTTTTCCAAGAGCATTTCCCATTATGCAACATTATCATATGTTGAATGAATATCATTCTTCCCCAGAAAAGTAACTGCCTGCATTATAGAAATAGTTTTGCCTTTCATCCATAATATTTACGTCAATATTTGGTTTAGTTTTGTGAATAAGTAGCATTAAACTAGTCCATGCTGAAATATTATGGAATTAATGCAATTCAAACTACTTGGAATGTAGCATCAATCATTTCCCTAATGACATTCTGTCATCATTTTACTGGTAAGCCGGATGTCATTGGATATTTAATCTGTTCTCTGTAATGATTCTAACTTGCCATCCAACATGCCTTTTAAAGGGATACTGCATGATCCTTCTTTGTTTTTCTAGATGGGCAATCAGTACATCTCCGTTTCCAGTTCATACAGACTCATAAGGCCTGTTTTCATCAGCTCAAGTTCGCCAAATAACCCGCTATTTTAACTATCCTGATCGCAAATTAGCCAGTTAATTAGCGACCTCATCAGCCCACGGTAACAATTAGCAGGATATTAGGTCTTGGTCTTGTTTCCAAAATATCCCGCTATTTAGGCCGTCCGAGCTAGATTGTGATCAGCATATTGGTCTGGTAAAGACGCATTTTCGAGCTTCCGGATAATATCCTGAGTTTGAAAAATAGCGGGTTATTTGGCAATCTCGAGCTGATGAAAACAGGTCAATCGTTACAGATGCGAAGTTCGTTGGGAGAGGGTCCTCAAAATAAAAACTAGCCATGCACTTCTGTATCCCTGCTCATGTGATTATATGCCCTGATGGAACAAACCTGTCACCAGTACCTAATTGGAGGAGCTGCGTTGAGCCCACAGAGCTTTCTTTATGTTGTGGGATGGTATGTTGTTTTATTGGGGATTGCCGGGATTCACATGCATCCCTGGCTTTTGGGATTGGATGTGGAAAGAGCAAGCCACCAACCAACGTCAGAGCACCTGGCATGGCTGCTGGCTCTCTAGATATCAGTTGCAGGAAACGATCGTTCTGTTGGAAAGATGTGAATATCAGAAGGCAATAAATATATATTGATATATTTAAATTGATAATCCATATTTCAGGTTCCATCTTTGAAAATACATCTTTAGATGAAACCACTTATAATCTTTTCAAATTATAATTTTCTAATTTAGGCTGACATAACCTTTTTCTGAGGTTTAACACCTCAGATGTGAAAGGATGGCTCCATTGGGACACCTGAAATACCTGCATTTACTCTTTTACAGACAATGGAGTTTTGATCTGCATTTTGATAAAATGGTTTGTTCTAGACCAATCCAGTCAATTCAATTCAATTCAATTTTTTGATTTATTCAAAAGCAAGGTATTTCATAGGAAATGCCACTTTATTCAGGTATTACATGTACTTGTATCTGTGGTCTTTTAAGGAAAGAGGAACAAATGTTCAGTTGAAAACTATGCTATAGACTACATGGATACAAGTACATGTAGAGTGGAAAATCCATCTTTTAGATGTATTTCAGACAGCATAGTTTCAGTCATTCCGTCTTCCTAATTATTTTTTCAAAACAAAAGCCTGACAGTCTAAACTGTGCACCCAATATCAAAGGACAGACTATGCATAAGGCACACGCAAGTTCAGGTAAATTAAAGAAAACCTGTCCATTTCATCACGTTATGCTGTATAAAAGGTAGATAGAAGCTAGTACTCCCACAACACACATGCACCCCCCCCCCCCCACCGATACATGCACACGATACACACCAACATATGCCCAGTCAATTTACATCATTAATATCCACATAACATTGTACATTATATATGAACACGTACTTTTAAAATGTGGAATGTAATCAAAATTCCAAGCCATGTTAGAACAACATTGTATGGTGTGGAATCACATTCGGTTTATTTCCCAAAAAGACTTGTAAGGTACGGATGAATGTGAAGGTATGGGTAGAACCTAATGAGGATGATTCATGTTACATGATTGGTGCCTTGGGCATAGGACGTGTACCCTTATTTAGGTCAGGTGATCTCCTAGTCTCATTGGATATTGTATGCACACACTCAAATTATAAATATAAAAATAGACTTTAGAAATGAGCTAAAGCAACAATAGACTCCCTTCACATGTTTCATGTACAATATTTAATCGCTTTCTGTGTATCTTTATTTAAGAACTGAATAAAAATAGATATTTGGCAAGGAATTTAAGGTTGCATTGATGGATTAATATGAGCAGAAATCCATCCAAAGTAGTCAGCAGAATTTGTTCATTATTCTAATTTTTGCACTTTTATTTCTGCTGCTCAGTAAATATAATGATTTATATTATTATAATCAGGAATAAGTCCTGGGATTTTGTTTGGCAAACAAACCAGTATTCCAGTATGAAAATGATTGTTATACCCATAATAATTGCCTTAACCGGGTATTAAGCTGGTGGCATTGAAAAAAACCTTGATGAAATATGTTATCTATATATACATGTATTATATGAGAGGAGATAATTTGAACAGCAAGGACGTTATGAGCTATATTAAGATTATAAGGAAGAAGGAGGATACTACATTGAACATGTAAAATCACTTCTTCAGAATTATCACTAATAATGCATTTATAGGAAACATCTTCAAGCCTGCGTTATATATCATTAAGTGGGTGGGGTTAGCCTGTCAATTCTGACACAAATAGACCAAGTTGAATGTGCCAAGCCAAACAAAGGACATAATAGAGGTCATTTTCAGCAACCCAATAGGGAATTCAAGATTTTTTTATTTTAGGGGGGGGGGGGTCAAGTATGTATGCAAAATATCAGATAATGATAAACAAGAAATATTAGGCAATACAAATTTCTCTTGAAATTAATTTTATGATAACACTAATTGGTTCATCCAACTTTTTCAATCATATTTATGCTCAAGGTTCAGCAAAGGATAAGAATATATCATTATTATGCAGTGTTGTATTGTTAGTGTATGGACCATATGTACATATATACCCTGCACAACAACAACAACAGATCACAGGAAGGCCTGGGCAAAGGTGATATTGCAAACATTAATATTCAAGTGTAACATGTGCTAAGTATTAACGGATGCCCATAAAATAGGAATAATTTTTTGTTGTACCTCTTTTCATGTAATGGCTGTGACAATATGATAGATACGTGATAGATACTTTGATATCTTCTAAGTATTTTATTGATCAATAAAGTTAGCTCCTTAATTTTCTGAGAAGATATAACCTCTAGCTATCAAGAATAGATCATATTGTAACAAAAATTACATGAAAGGGGGTTTAAAAAAAGATAATATTACATTGGTTTTTACTTAAAGATAAACTTGAGTACTGGTAATGCTATTGCATTGTGAAAGAAAAGGTGTGGAATGGATCAGAAAAGTTGATCATATAGCATGTAAGTAATGGTGTGTAATGCAAGGTTCTAGAGTCATCAAAATCATCATAAATTTGGCAGAGTCTTGGTAAAGTAACAATCACTTACACAGATAGAAGTATATGGGACAACACACATGGTGTCGGGGCTAGTACTACCCTGATTTCCTTATCTTTCTATGCTCATTACTCAGCCAGTATACATTTTCTTCCAAAATTGTTTGGCACATGACATTTATTTGTAATCTTGAATATTCAGTGTAAGTTTCGTTAGATTCTGTGAGAATTCATTTTCTTTTTTTACCAGAACTCAAGTTTATCTTTAATGAATTAATTTTGTGTAAATGGCAATTTTAATTCCTGTTATGGATACAAAGAAGTACATAATTGAGATCCTGAATGTAGAAGGAAAATGAAAATCATGCTCTAGTTTCCAGTTCCTATCCAGAAAAGGTAACTAGGTTGAAATTTTTTCTTCTTAATTCTCACTTTTAGCCAATTTGTTGTGAAATTCTCATTATGCTCATGAGTAGTATACCCATGGGAGCTCACATTCAAGTAGATTTCCTGATATCCTGTGGCATTTTCAAGGGCATCAAATATATTTCCTTGTCTGACTTCCTGACA